TCCTGCTGAAACAACCACAGAGCCAGAAAGTCATCTTACCAAGCAAGAGGAGACTCTAGACATAGTAAGTTTCCATGCATCATCTACATATTTACTTCTGTCGATAACTATGCTTAGATTCTGAGCTGAAGAAGGAAATTTATGTGAATGAGAATCATTCACATTTGACTTTTCTTCTGCTTCCAGACAATCCCAAAAGCCAAAGAAGAAGTGAACAGAGAAGAAGATGGCGTCTCTCAGAGCGACCTGGAAGCCCTCATCACCGGACGGCATCCTAAACAGGAGACTCCCGACTCCAGCACAAACTCCGGTCCAGATGCACCCGCCTCTGCTGCTGAAGCTCAGAAACCCATTTCGGGAAAGTGGGTCTGTGCTCAGTCGTCTCAGTCCAAAAGTAACAACTTCAACAAACACATCACAGACAAGCTGGAAGTGTTGGCCAAGGCCTACACACACCAAGGAGACAAGTGGAGAGCACTGGGCTACTCCAAGGCTATCAACGCACTGAAGAGCCTCAACAAGCCCATCACATCATATCAGGTAGCCTATAGAAACCTTTATTAGCTGGTTGACTTCAACTGTGCCGCTCTTTGCGTACAAATATGATTTAAACTGGTTCAATTTATCTCTAGCTATATGTTTGGGATCAGTGCCTTCCTGGAAGATGAATCTTTCCCTGCATCTTAAACTATTTTCTTTCAGGATTGACCTGTTTTAGCTACATCCATCATGTTTCAGTAGTTTTGGAGAAAGCAACATAGTCACTTCATTGTATTATAAAATTGCACAATGTTCCTGGAAAATACATTCTTTAAATTACACAAAGGTGTAATCCTCAATTTACATATCTGGTAACTTCTGAAGGCAAATTATTATGCTGGGATTTTATTTGGATGTGCTAAATTAGACATGAAAAGGTTTGAGGGGGATTCATTATTTTTTCTCCCCCCACACACCTTTGGTGTTAGGAAGCTTGTCAGATCCCAGGAATAGGAAAACGCATGGCGGATAAAATAGAAGAAATTATGGAGAGTGGCCACCTGAGGAAGCTCGATCACATTGGAGAGGCCGTGCCTGTCTTGGAGCTTTTCACCAACATTTGGGGAGCAGGAGCGAAAACAGCACAACTTTGGTACCAACAGGTAAACACAAAAACATTATCAGTACTACAGAGATCCTGTGCTGCAGCACCTTGGCACATTAAAGTCATATTTTATGTCTGTTGCGTCATACATTATGTTCATATGTTTAAAGCTCAAATAATGCATTGACTTCAGTTTATTAGTCAAGTTCCCTATCCCTGGATAGTTTTCTATACAGGGAAACCCAGCCAATGTGTTTTGACCAGTTTCTTGCCTGTGTATTGTGGCACATCCAAAACTAATCTTTGTTTTTAATGTTATGTTATTGAGTGTCATTAAACTACTACTGAAACCTATTATAAATATACTTTTTGCATTTTTTTTTTAACTTCTTTTACCTTTTGTTTAAAGGTAAATTATTTTAGCGAAAACAAGCATAATCTCTGAATTTCATGATTTGTCTTGCAGGGCTTTCGCACCCTGGACGACATCCGAACCAAAGCCCACCTGACCAGCACTCAGAAAATAGGACTGAAGCACTACGATGACCTTCTAGACCGAATGCCTAGAGAAGAGGCGGCAGCCATAGAGAAAGTGGTAATGTGTATTCATTGTAATACTGCAAGCATTTAGTGCTCTCTGGCTGAAATACCTTTATTCCTTTTATCGTGTCAATGTGTTTAGCAAGAAATTGGGGGGAGGGGAACACCCTCAACTTGTAGCCCCGAAATAGAACTGTGTTTAGTGGAACGTGAAAATACAAACATTATGCAAAATTATACACCAAATACTTTAGCTCAACAAATAAATTTGAGATTATGGATGAGGGAACTAAATGAAGATGTGAAAACAAACCAAAAGCAAAGTTGTGATTCGACCTCCAGTCATATTGGAAAGAGAAGCTAGCGAACGCACAGACAGCAGGAGAGAAAGTTCACGACGAGACACTGCGAGTTGAACTTGCTGCAATCAGTAAAGATATAAAGGACAACACCAAGTGATTTGGCTCTAAGATAAATTTTATGACTCATAAGTTTTTATCCTTTGCAGGTGAGTGATGCTGCACATGCCGTCGATGCCGATCTCGTGGCAATGGCGTGCGGCTCTTACCGTCGCGGGAAAGCCACGTGCGGAGACGTGGACGTTCTTATTTCTCACCCTGACGGCAAGTCCCACAAAGGAGTTTTCAGTAAAGTCTTACAGATTCTCCATGACAGTGGTAAGTCCTGTACTATCTGACAGTACAGATAGTTTTTGTTTTTATTGTTTTCATTTCTAATAACAAAAAGAACATCAATCTGTATTTCTAAGGGTTTCTAACAGATGACCTGGTGAGCCACGAAGACAACGGAGAGCAGAAGAAGTACATGGGCGTTTGCCGTTTGCCAGGGCCCGGTCGGCGCCACCGCAGGCTCGACATCATCGTTGTGCCTTACGAGGAGTTTGCCTGCTCGCTTATGTATTTCACCGGCTCGGCCCACTTCAACCGCTCGATGAGAGCGCTGGCAAAGACGAAAAACATGAGCTTATCGGAGCACTCTCTAAACAAAGACGTGGTGCGTCAAGGCAGCTTGAAGATGCACGGTGGTAACCCACTTCCCACAGCGACGGAGAAAGATGTTTTTAGACTTCTAGGGATACCGTACAGACCACCTCAAGAAAGGGACTGGTGATGAACTCCAAAAAAAGTTTTGCTTTTAGAAAAAGAGAGCTTGACGTGTATTTATGAATGGTAAATCAGGAATTATGCAAACGCACTGTCCATTGATATTTAAAGATAAAAACTTTTAAAAATTATGGAAGTATTTCACTAACTAATTTATTTAGCAAAATAAAAAGCCTGGATTCAGAATAGAGATTATTATGATGAGGTTTGCTTTGTTGATCTGTAGAGCTTCACGGCAAATGAGGCTCTTGGCTCAAGGAATCTTTGGAAATTGAGGACTGAATTTATTTAAACTCTGGCTGCCAATGTTCTCACCAACATGAACAGATAGAACTGGGGATGTGAAGGAAAATAAAGGCTGGAAATATCCCGATACTTACTCAACTTCCAAACTTCTCCTGACAAGAAATGACAATAAATAAATTTACATCTGACTCCTCCTGGCTCTGATTGGTTATTTTTGACTGAGAAATGTTCATTTCTGCAGAATAGAGGTGGTAAAGAAGTGTAATTTAAATATATATATATATATATCTACTAGCAAAAGAGCAGATAAGTTGGATAAGGAGCTGGTTACCAAAGGAGTTATTGATATGCCAATAAAAGGATCTAAAATCAAAGGCAAAAGCATAGTTTGGAAAGAATTTATGGAAAATGAGGTGGGATAATGAAATAAGTAGAAAACATTTGCTGAATAGGACACAAAATACAGCTGATGTCATAAGAATTAGAGGAATAAGCAGGGGGAAGAGATAATTCTAAATGCAATAAGAACTGCTCATAGTTTTTTGAATCAAGAACCTCTTACTGGTTCATCGGTGTAGTACTACAGAAATGATAGAACACATTTTTATCATTGTGGAAATAGGTTTTAAGAAAAATTTGAAATTTTGAAATATGATTGTTGTATGAAGCTCCATATTGTTCGGATAAATAGTAATGACCGGAAAGATTTTTCTGCTTTTGAAAAATACTGGAGAATTTGAAGAAAGGCGATGAGTAGTAAAATCCAGTAGGTGGCAGTAATGCAACATTGATGGGTGCAAGCTCCCGTTAAAAACTAAAGAAGAAGAAGACAGCGTATGAATTTGGATGAAAAACAACGTGCTGCGATGAGTTTGGACGAAAACTGTTCAGTTTTTGCTGAAAGGGCATCTTAAGAAGATGTAACAACAAATACTTGGAGGCAGCAGCTCAAATGGCAGCAGTGAGCCGCTGTCGGAGACATTTCCGAAGAAGCTAAAGCGGGACAAAGAACATAACCTGCGACACATCATGGAGGCAGGTTTCAACCAGAGGGTTCTGCTGGACGGATTAGGTTCGTATGCTTTCGTGACAGTTGCATTTGAGGCACATTTTAAGACGACTCGTGGATCTGTTGCTTAAAGCTCAAATTTAGCCAGTACACGTTTTAGACGAGCAACGTCCGCCATATTATGAGTGGTAAGTAGGGTTTGGAAACCGATTAAAGTGTTCCCTGATTATTTTTGTTTATGCTGCTGCACAAAATAAATCAATAAATATCGATGGTTTTTATATTTAATAAAAGAGGCTTTCAAACGCATCGGATCAGTTTGAAATTTAGGAAAAGGACCAAATTACAAATCCAGACATGGTCTTGCAGTTTTAATGACTTGAAATTAGTCTGTTAATCTACCAACACAAACATGTGCAGAATTGTCGCTGTGCTGCTGTTATGTGCAGATAAATGAGAGAGCAGAATCTGCTCAGATTATAGATGAACGGGTAGGAGCATCAGACTGAGGCAGATGTTTGTGTTGGTGTGTCTAATCAGGACCAGTTTATTGAGCCAGGAATTAAACAATGTGTTTGCAGTTTAACAAGCTATAGATCATCGCAAAATATCTCAGAATTACATTAATGTGTTCATACAAAATGACTTCTGATACTAAATTTCCTAAAAAAAAAATGGAAAGGTTCACAATGGGTCTGCGATTAGATTTATGAGTTTTTTTTTCCCACATAGAAACTAGTTTAAAGTATATTTTGTGCCACTGATAACATTCTATTCAAGAGTTATTGAGGCAAAAAGAGGCAGAAATGGTTTCATAATGTGGTTGTTTAGAACGGGTGAACAGATGTTCACATAAATAGACAGAAACCTTCCTGTGATGTAAAGGATAAGAAAATGTTTGCATTAAATTTAACCAAATAATCTAAATATATCTTTATTAAAGTACTTCAGTCCAAGCAACAGTCCAAATACATTCTAAGATGCATAATGTGTTTCCATGCTCGCTGCAGATGTTAAGCAGATGCTGATGGTTAAAGAAGAAGCTCCTGAAGACCACAGATCTGTTGCTGGGCTGCATGACCCAAAACCCTGGCAGATAAAGGAGGAAGAGGAGGAAGTCTGCATCAGTCTGGGAGGAGAGCAGCTCAGCGGGAAGGAGGAGATTGATGCCATGAGGTTTCCAGTCTCTGCTACTCTCATAAAGAGTGAGGATGATAAACAGTTCATTCTGCTCTCACAGAATCTTTATAAAGATGAAATTAAAGACAGAGATCTTCCAAAAGAAAGTGATGGGGGAGAATCCATCAAAATAGAAAACTGTGGAGATGCTTCTATTCCCTTAAAGACTGAAGATACTGAGAAGGATGAAGAGGACGACGATGTAAACAAGTCTACTTCTGAGTTAGATTCTGGTCTAAAAACTGAGAACTTGGACAATGACTCAAAGGAGAGAAGAGCTCCAGAATCAGAAGGAAACATTAACAAACCTTTTAACTCAGAGTGTCATGAACAATTTGTTCACTCTTGCTCTCTTCAGAAAGATATGACAGATTCAGAAATGGGATCTTCGACCACTGTGGGTAATAAATGTTTAACAGAGAAGAAAAATGTGGACTCAAAAAGTAAGATCCAGACAGGAGTGAAGTTGAGCTGTGAATACTGTGGTAAAACATTTTCTGGTAAATACACTTTAAACACACATGAGAGAATCCACACAGGGCAGAAACCTTTCTGTTGTGATCTCTGTGGACAAAGGTTTAACCAAAAATCAACTTTAAACAGACACATGAGAAACCACACAGGACAAAAACCTTTCAGCTGTGATTTTTGTGAACAAAAATTTAGCCAGAAATCACATTTAATCAGGCACACGAGAAACCACACTGGACAGAAACCTTTTTGTTGTGACTTTTGTGGACAAAGTTTTAGCCAAAAATCACATTTAAGCAGACACATGAGAAACCACACTGGAGAGAAACCTTTTGGTTGTAACTTATGTGGACACAAATTTGGTGAGAAATCAAATTTAAACATACACATGAGAATCCACACAGGACAGAAACCTTTCTGTTGTGATATTTGTGGACAAAATTTTGCCGCAAAATCAAATTTGATCACGCACACGAGAAGCCACACAGGACAGAAACCTTTCTATTGTGATCTCTGTGGACAAAAATTTAGCCGAAAATCACATTTAAACACGCACATGAGAATCCACACCGGACAGAAACCTTTCTGTTGTGACCTCTGTGGACAGAAATTTAACCAAAAATCTAATTTAAACACACACATGAGAATCCATACAAAAGGAAAAAATGTTTAGCTATTAATACTCAAACTGCGATTATTTATCACAACATTATTGTCATTAACGTCAAGAGTTTTCTCTCTGTGGTTTCTGCATTATCTCGTAATTTTGGTATTTTATTTCTTAAACAATTAGCTGTAATAGACTTTATTTGAGAAATATTTATTTTAGATATAAAAACCATACAGTAATACTGTAACAATACTGCAGGTTGTTTAGTTTTTAGAAATTTTAATAAAATACTGTCACACAAACGTCACCATGTTGTTCACGCTGCAATGCATTTTGGGTAAATGACATCCATAGGTCCAACTGCACCAGCTCCGTCCAGCCAAACCAGCAATGACGAACGTCATTGAGCCTTTTTGATTTGAACCGGAGCACGTTAAAATCAATGGGAATGTAGAATGAAAATGACAATAAACAAACAGATGAAGAGGACAGTCGGTTCTTGGAGCTGGTGTTTCGCTTTTGTTGCCACATTCAGCTTCATAAATGAAACAATGAATGATACATACCTCTTATCAGATTGTGTGATCCTGTATGTACTTTCATCAACTGTATAGGGTCGGTGGTTTCATATTCAGTACCAAGTGGCAGTATAGCTTCATCAGCATTTCAAAGAGCTTCCAGCTCTGCCTGCCACAGCACGGTATTTGTTTTTAGCTTGCAAAGGTAATGATCACCTGTTAGAGTTTTTGTCAGTTTTGCTCATACAAATGACTCAATGTCCTCTGGAGACAAATGTTGAGGGCATAAATGTAGGTTCTTTGGAAGTTGCTATCTCCCACTATGTTCTTCCTTTTTCATGTGGGAAATTATCCAGTTTCACCTTCCCTGCACACATTTATTTGGTTCCTTATTGGACATTCATGTCAACTTTTCTGGCCATTATGTTTTAATACACTCTGGAGATCTGTCCTGTAACAAAAGAAAGTCTGTTAAATTGTGTAATGTGATGGTAAATTAGCATCACGCCTCCTCTGTGACTCAGCTCCTTCAGACTAGCTGGCAGCAGTTAGCAAACACCTGGTGAAACTGCTAGCTGAGCTCATTGTACAAGCTACTTCTCAGTGCAGAACTGGTAAAAAAAAAAGTTGTTAAAGGGTACAGTTTTGGAAGGAGCAGACATTTTTAAAGACATAGAGCCCAATTGCAATGCCTTATTTTGTTTTTTTTTTTTGTTGTTGTTTTTTTACAACTGAAGACCACTTGACTTCAGTTATATATAAAATGGCACCATATGTCTAGAAAATACATAATGTTGTCTCTTTAAGTTTGGTCAAATTTTTTTTATTTCCAAACTTTCTGAGGCCACCTTCCAAAGTGTTCATATCCACCTTATACTTTTCATTAATCCTCCCAGAAGGACACAACAGAGTCAGAATGGCCTGGCTCCTCCACTGACGGGATGAGTTACATAGAAGATGCTCAGAGTTGCCAAACACTCACCAAGTTATTCAGTTTTAAACAGTTCGTTCAAGGATTTGCGCATCACCGGTGACCACGCCACACCCAAATGAGCTTGGCAGCGTGTCTGCCTGTCTCGGGCAGGGGATGTCTTGTGTAACAGCGGTATCAGGCAGTGGCGCGCCGACAGCAACCAGTTGCTCCGGCCCGGATTCTCGTTGTCATGTCCCAGAGGAGGCGGCGCATACGGCGGCCTCTGAACGCAACTCGAGCCGAAATATAAGTTGAAGACACGGTCAGGGGGGACGCTGTTCGTGGACAACAGTCGTTTACCTCCCGCGGCCGGTTCTTGGAGGAATGAGAGGCGCGTGTTCGGCTCTGAAAATGGGGTTGTTTTTGCACGCTGTCGGCTCTGTCACCCCCACGGAGTCCGCACCAGAGGGGGTAAGGTTGGAAGACAAGGTTCTTAACCAGAACCGCTGGCTTAAACCCCAAACGAGTCGGCACTTAAGGACTTTCTGTCCTTAAGCTTACTACATCATGCAAATACTGAGTCGTTTGTTTGAGCAGCTCGCTTTAGATAACTGACTACAGAGAGTTGTTTGTCCTGCATTCGCAGTGCTACACGAACTGAGATGTAACAGTTAGCTAGGCATGCTAGCTGTGGAAGCTAACAGCTAGCACGCCTAATAGCTGTGAGCTTCCACAGCTAGCGAGGCTAAAGCTAGGAAGCGGTCGCGGCCTTTCTTGTTTTTATAGTTTGGGGGGAGTTTATATTTTAGTAGAGCCCGGTTTTAGAAACAACAACTCTACAAGTGAGCATAACACAGTTGGTGGTATTATTGGTGGAAAAATTGGGTGCCAACAACATCTGTTGTCGTTTACTTCCAAGCTGTATCATCTTTTAACAGCAGTCTGGTTGCATTTTTCTGTCTTTAAACAATTCCAGACTGATTTGCATTTCCTTTGTTTGGAAAGCAGTTTGAGGTGTTTATCGGAACAGTTTAGTTTAAAAGAGCACTGTTGGAAAATTCAAATAACCACATAATGTTTCTCGGTTGAAAATTAGGCTAAAGTGTTTCAAAAGCCAACATTCTGGCTTTTGAAATTCAGACTAGTGAAGAGCTGTGGCAGCATAATCACACACCAACAGAAAATCAAAACGGAGATTGTTGTGAAACCTGGAGCTGTTCAATAGATTTTTCTGTTTTTTTTTTCATTGCTGATATTAGTTTAAAATTACTGTAGCAGCCCCTTTATTCTACCAGTAGGTCATGTTTGTTCTTTTTGCTTTGTGTGACCAAGACTTCCAACCACAAGTCAGGCTTGGACGACATTCACACACCAGGCAAATGCATCCCATATCTGACTTTTTCATGTCAGTGAATGCTCTGATCTTTTCACCCAAATACAAATCCACATTGTACCACCTCCATATGTGTTACTAAATCAGATATCAAATTGTTTTCAAAGCATCTTCAGTCTGAACTGTCTTTTACGCCGTTGATATGTTACATGCCTGAGCTGTTGTACTCATTTTCTACTTTTACTAGTTTCAGTAGTTTATTTTCAGAGCATCTCCTTGGAACCAGAAGAACCGGGTTCTGGGTTCTCCTTGTACATAGAGAATATATAAACAGTTTTAAACAGTTATGAGACACAGTGGGAAAACCCAAAATTGCTGCAACGTAAGTTTCTCAACCGGTGGTAGTTAGGTATCCAAAGAAAAACTTAGTTAATGCCACTGACCTTTCTTAGCTGACCGTAAGAGGATGAGCATCGTTTTCCACTGGCTTCTTTCATGATGCCACCTGTTTTTACTTGTGTTTTCTCTGCCCGTTGTCTGTGATGACTGTTTCCAGCCGTTGTTCACTTTTAATAAAACACACTGCTCCTTCCAACAAAACCTACAAACCTCAACAGAGATTGTCCCAAAAATTTATTAGATCAGTGCAAACAATAGATACAAACGTAAACAATGTGAGAGGAAATTTAACATTCAGCTTTAACCCTGAGCATCTTTAGAATAGTTTTTTGGTTTCAAGTGCAGCTCCAACTCCATTGCATCATCTGAGCTTTCTCTCAGTGACCTTGGCGATGATAATAAGCTCTCTCTCTTTTCACAGTTAATCGGATTAAGAAATAATTGTTCAGAGAGGGACCCATGAGCGTCGGCTGATTGCCTTATAGTCTTACATGAAAGTGGATCAGTTGTGGCTGTGAAGTCTGGCTTAACAAAGAACTGCAGACACAGTATCACATAGTCACAAAGACATCTTTAGGTTCTCAGCAGCTTTTCATTAAGGATGTTCTGCTGCAAGGATTTTCAGGGATGGTAACCAAATCTGCGTCTTAATCTGTTTGTAAAGACAGAGAGGTGGACAGTTTGGGTATGCAGGAGAATCTGATCTGTACAGAATGTTCTCAATGTTTTGTTCTTTTTTTTTTAAAGTTGATCTTTTATACTTTTTGTCTGAATCTCACTTACAGGCAGTAGAAAATTCTGCTCTTAAGTATTTTTTTAGATAACGTTGATCAGCACTTCTTCGGGGTTTTTGAAAGACTTTCAAAGTCTAAGAAAGTTTGCTGCTTTTTAAAAACTCCTGTTTTTTTAAAGGCCTCCTCCTAGAACAGGTTTCAAAAGCTCCCAAGTTGAAGTTTGACCTGGTGTTATTCTACCAGTTGTCACCTTTATTTTTATTCTCTCAGATGTTTATTTGACTTCACTTTGGAGAGGATCTATAAAAATCATTAACGATTACTCGAGAGACACCAACCATAGGGTTGTGGTCACTTTTTATAAAACTTGGCTCTTACATCACTGCTTTCTCTTAATTGTGAAACGCTGTACTGACACAGACGCGTGATCTTTTTAAATGGAGTTTTCATTTAAAAAAACCTTTTGATTGCCTGTAATATGAAGGAGAAGCTTTGTGAAATGAAAACTAAAAATAGAAGTAGTCTCTTTGTTGAGTTTAGGATCTGTTTCCTGCATGAAACTTTGACACGTCCTCCCCATCAGGAAACAGTGTCAAATACAGCAAATACTAGTTAAACGACAAGCGTCTAATACTCAGTTTTAAGATAAACATTTTTGAAGTATTTTTATTTATAAAAAGTCATCTTTTTGGTTTAAAATGAAACTAAAAATACAAGCGTTTAAATGGAGGTGTATGATGTAAATTTGACTTTTTATAACTATATCATGTTGAAATTTGATTACCTCATTGCTTTGGTACTTTAATCTCCCGTGGAAACCATCTGGGGTGCCTAAACGCTTGCTCAAGCAAACCTCAAACAAGTGTCGAGCATAATTTGTTTTGTGAAATTCAGGAAGTTATTTCAAAGGTTTACATTCCTGTCAACCTTGTCTAATGCGCTACTTCAAATGAAATAACTTTAATGGACAGATAATTATTGATACAGAAAATCTCTGGGTCCTTATCACTTTTGAACAACTTTCACTTTGAAGGGAGTTGTGATGGCAAATGATTTACCTTCAGGCGAGTCTTTTGGTCAGCAAGAATCAAGCTGAAAATAAAAAAACCCATTGATCACCTGAAGGTTGATGCATTTCTTTAGTCCTCTTTGCTTAAAAAAAAATCTTAGTTTTATACACACACACAAAAAAAAAAATGTGTGCTGCAAAGTTCAGGCAACAGAAGGTCTTCCTTTTTGGTCCAAAATAAAGAAGGAACTTACAAATTGTTTTAAAAAAATTACACAGGTTTTATTTGAATGCTTTTTCCTAATTTTAATAGCATTTTTGAGTATTCAGATCTGCGCTTTAAACCAACCAAACCGGATTCTTTTAGGCAAAACAAGCACAGTCTGAGAAGCATAGGATACCAACTGAGTCAGGAGAACAACAGATATTACTGCAACAGAAGAACAGAACGTCATGTGATTTTTACATCTTTTCACAGACTGGTCTGTTTTTTTTTTTAGATGGCCACGTTGATAAAGTCGAAACATCTGATGGTTTAAAACCGGGCTGCTGCTTCAGAGTCAGCAGTTAGATTTTGTTCTCATCCGGTGCGTCTCTTACAACTTCTGCTCTTCCCGTCTTCCTCCTCTCTGCCTAGATGTGTCCATCGTTTCTCTCTATGCGTCTTACGCTCGACACACTCCTCTCACCACCTTATTATCATGGAGCGCTGCAGCCAGGAGCCTGTTCTCAGCCGCTGCCTGGAAATTTCCGTAAAGCAATCCTTGCTGGCTGTTTGGGCTGTGTTGGAGTGGGGTGGGTGTGCGCGAATATTTCAATGGGTTGAGTCGAAGAAGGCAGTGGAAGGTGAGCAGAAAGAGAGGGGGTACGCTTAAGAGCTTTTTGACATTTCCTCCATTGGGGAGAACTAAACTTTAGGTGAAAGAGGGATTGTCTGGACCTGGAATCGTCATGCCTCTAAGTCAAGGACTTACGATGGTAATCTATAGAAACTAAACCTTATCTTTATATTTAACCTTTGTTTACTAACGATTAAGATAAATCTTGACAAAGTCCAAGAAGTTTTCTTAGAAAAGCCCATCAGCGTATATTGCTTTCTTTAATTAACTGTACTGCTTTTTTGACATCCTCTCTTCTAATCCATCTTGTTTTCTTTGACTTCCTAGCTTTTCACAAGTTTGATGGATATCAGTAACAGGTTCTGTTTGGTTAACTTTTGACCAGGCTGCAAGTTCGCTGTGTTGACAGTGGAAACATACAGCAGGCTGATGGAGGGGAGACAAAAGTTTAGAGGATTTCTGCTGAAAATGACCTCAAAACGGATCTCTCGTTGATGTTTCAGGTTTACATTGCGTATTTGCATTGTGGGCAACATACTGAGGGTTCTTGGCTGTGATATAACAGTTCTACTTGATTTGCACTAGGAAAAATGTCAAGCAATAAAACAGTTTTGATATTTTATCAAGACACAAAAGATTGCAGTAACGATGATGAAGGGTAAGCTTTTAAGTTCAGTGATGCATGTGGCCTATCAGGCAGTACATGGTAGCACTGTTGTTTTTTTTACAAACTGAAATATGAGTAAAGCCAATACATTTATCGGGTTCTTGTCATTATTATTAACTCTAAATTCAAGATTTGAGTTGGAGATGTGCCTGTCAGAATTGTGTGGCTATTTTTTGAAGATTTACTTTAAGAAATATAATATGTAATGTGGATTTGCCATCATAATTGGTCAAACTTTATTTAATAGTTGTAGCATTCGGTAGTATCTCTATATACTTTAGTAATTTGCATGCTAATTCCATCTCTACGTCTTACTATTTTCTGTCAGCCTTCTGTTTTATGTTCCTAAACAAACCATTTCAGACCCACGTACAGAAGCATTGCACCAGTTTATTTATCTTAGCAGGTATGTCATTTGAATTAATTGTGAAAATAAATAACATGTTCCTATTTTCTGAAGACTGTATAGATAGATGTATTACACTCTTATGTCCATTAACTGTGCTTCTGATCTTCATTTGGGCTTGTTGACTCTTATTAATAATCACACATTTTGTTCACTGATCAAACAGAAATAATGTCCAGAACCACTGAATCACATAAACCTCATTAGACTGCTTGCTTACGTTAAACAATACCAATAACCCGAAAACCATTACACTAAATTAGATGTTTAAAATGTATAGAATTGCTGTTGTTTTCAAACTAATGGCAATATTTATGCGTTCGTACTCTAGATTTAAATGATTGACCCTGTTGGGTGGACGTTCACTGCCTGTGACGGCCACACCTCATTTTAGTGACTTGAACACTCAAACTCAAGAAAAGTGACAATGTGTTGATGGTAAACAGACTGTGGAAACCGAAGGCTAGTCAAATATTGTCTCTTCAGTGTTAAGCAGCAATATCCCAAATGCATGTTGTGCCCGTATGCTCTTAAAATGCCCCCAGGACGGGTGTGAATTGTTGCATGGCTAAGTTCAAAATGTCCTGTGAAGGACGTCACGTTTGGGGAAAAGTCGAGTCTGAAAAGGACAAACCTGCAAAAGCACCAGAGGGCAGCAAGAAAGCAAAAACAACCTGCACCTTCTTAATAATGAAACATTCACAACGCTGATTTCTCAGAAAGAACAATAGAATAGATGTATCATATGTTGTTGCTAATTGGAAATAACAGCTGTAGTGGAATTTTTTTTAAATATATACTTTTCAGGAAGTGACTGGGGTGAATTATTGTGACCTACATAATCAATACTGTTAACCTGGCTTATGCAGCAGAAACTCACTAAGTACATCAGTAGTTTGTTATGACTTAATGTTAGCAACACATTTATGTCAACGAGTCAAAGAAAACGACTAAAAGCTAAAAAGAAAATCACGTTCTTAGTCATTACAGCTCTGGAAAAAAAAAAGAAACCACTTAAAATGATCAGTTTGTAAAAATGAACATTTTATTCTATGAACTACTGACAACATGTCTCTGAAATTCCAAGCAAAATTTTTGCATTTATTTGCAGAAAATGAGAAATGGTCAAAATATTAAAAACATGCAGCTCTTTCAGACCTCAAACACTGCAAAGAAAACAAGTTCGTATTGATGTAGAAGCACCAATACTAATGTTTAAATTGATATTTGGTGGAATAACCATGAGCATTTCAGTAGGATTCAGTGCAGTGGTCTCCTAGTTTTTCCAGAGTTGTATGTATTTGTTACTTTTGTAATGAGTGAACTCGAAAAAGTATGACTTAAATATTGGAGGTAATAGTAACTGATGACTAAACACAATCAGCACTGTGGGTTTTTGCTCAAGGAAAACTTCTGCCAGTGTCTTGATTAGCACTTAAAACCATAGCTGTGTTTACCACTAATGACTCATGGGAGCAGAACTTTATTCTTGTCAGACTTCTTCCCAAACCTTTTCCTCCGATGAAAGGAATATCTGTTGAACGCTTCAAGGGAATTTAGATTCAATAGATGTTAGATTTTTCTGGTCAAAGGTCTAGGTCAGTGTGACTGCACGTCCATCCCTTTCTGCTGGATGTAATATTTCAGGAATGCATGGAGGGATTTTAATCACTACTGGTGCAGGGATTTGCTTGGATTGGATAATTTAGTTTATGTTCAGGGTCTTTTATTACCACATTATTTATAAGAATACAACAACAGTCTGCAAAGCTCTTAAATAACCAAGAATAACCTGGAAGCTTCTTAAAATATATATATTTCTATGAACAGATAGTTTTAGTTTGGTTATTAGACACTTCTGTAAGGCTGGGTTGGTGCAAACATGAGGAGTTTATGAATAACTTATTACTGGAAAGAGTGGGTTGTGATGGAAAATTAAAATGCCAAGTAGTCCTCGCCTATTACGATACTGCAAGCATTGAAATTGCAATGACAATTTTAATTCAGTATGCAGCGCAGTTTTAGTTTGCAAATATTTTATCCCCCTGAAGTGCAAATCATCAACCCTACTACCTTAAATCTGCAGAATAGTGGTGGAAAATGTGTGAGTCTGTTAATAAATGTAGTTTCTCGTTATTCAAACTTTACTGCAGTCTTCACCTCACCTGGTCTTTGTCCTCCTCCAAGCACTTTGGAAGCAGGTGACGTCCTGCACGGATCAGTGGCCGTAGTAGACAGTGGAGGGATGAAAACCAGAAAATTGAGAAATTTAAAGGAATCCGTATTGCGCTGCTCTTTCATCTTTACCTACGCCCTGAAATGATACGACTAGACAGGATGACTTATTTTATGCAAAAACATTCCTTCACAGAGCTCTGATGTCCTTGTGCTGCAGAGCTTGATCCACTGTGATGGCGTCAACAACCAGAGCTACTTCTGCGAGTATGGACACTGCTGCGGAGAATCCCAGTGTTGCAGTTATTACTATGAGCTCTGGTGTAAGTTTTCGTCTTCTTCCTTTTCGTTTTTACAATCACATTATATGCCTTTATTTCTAACTTCACTAAAACTGCAACTTGTGTTGTTTGTGTTGTGTAATTGGCCTGGTCTTAAAAGATGATCGAAATACATTTATTTTTTGAAAATTTATGTTGATTAACTATTAGGAAACCTCAAAACAAGAAATGGTTACATTGCCTGAAGTGTGAGGTTTTGTCTCTTCATAACACTAAGGTGTACTTCATTGATGTCACATTAAAACATTCATTCAGAAGTGAGTTGAAGTACAGCAGAAAAGTAATTTTTTTTCTATTATCACCTAAATCTGATACCTAATGGTTGTATCTCTTAATGATTATGGATTAAGCCTGACTTAAAGGATTTAATCTATAATTGGATATTTAAGTTATTTGACATGGATTATTTTATTGATTAAGGTACTTACAGAACCCACAAATTAATGCAGCTTCTTACTTATAAAAGGGCTTTTTCAGATTCTGTGGCCTCTTAGATGAAAGTTTTAAGATAGACTTTTGATTCTGAGATTAATTGTCCTTTGGATCTAAATCTTCCCATTTCCATTGTTTTGGATTTCTGCAAACTAAACAAATGCGTCATGTATCAAAGGCAACACTTTAGAGACTGTCGGAGTATCTAAGCTATACATTTCTCTTAGTTTGTTGGTAAAAGTGCAGTATGAAATGTTACTAAAACGTTTATTCAATAATTTGACACCCATGCAGAGATTCATTTTCTGATAGCCCGAATTTAATGTTTTCTGTGTGTTTTTGTTTGTGTCTGCCTTCAAGTTCGTTTGTCCTTGAAGTGAAATTCCTCACATTTTTCTGTGACAACACAACAGAGATCTGTTAATTTCCCACACATAGTAAACAAAGTTCTCTCCTGCTTCCTGCTGCAGTTTAAGTCTAGAGTAGCTGAGAGGGCATTGCTGAAAGCACATTAAAATTATTTGCTCTAATGACAGAATAATTTCGAAAATGTGAGTCAGTGTAAGAAATGAATGTATATATTTAGAGTTAAATTGAACCTGTGCCACCAAATGAAATAATTTCTTACATGCTTTGAACCATTCTGTTAGGTATTAGGTGAATTGCTTCTCTTAATATATTATTTGGATGTACAGAAGCATCTTTTAATTGCTTCCTGTTTTATTTTTGAAATAAGCAAAACAATGAAATTATGATATTTAAAGTAAATGTTTCTTTTTCCATCTTAGGGTTTTGGTTGGTGTGGGCAATCATCTTTATTTTGTGCTTCTGCTGCATTTGCCACCACCGGCGCACAAAACACCGCCTGCAGCAGCAACAACGGCAGCACGAAATCAACCTCATCGCCTACCGTGAAGCACACAACTACCCCTCAGTTCCCTTTTACTTCCGTAAGTAAAGAGTCTTTGAATTTTGCATTGGTGAAACCTGCAGATACTCTGTCATGGATTAGTATAGAAATAGTTTGAAGCTTTTCGTATCTAACCATGTAGGGTGTAGCTTCACCACTGACTTAAAAGAAAATCGGCTTGTGTGAAAAAAAAAAAAAAAGTTATTTTTTTGCCTGTGGATGGTTTTTTTATTTGTTTACCAGAAACAAAAAAGTCTTCTAACTCAAAGTGGGAGCTCGGCTGAGATATAATGTTTGCAGTGAGATCCATCGTGGGGGTCCTGCAGCATCAGGACCTTACTTGTTTGCGTGTCCCAGCCTTCAGGAAACGCCGAGCTTTGCTTTCTTGGTCACTTGCCAACTTTGCAAAACCTGCTACCACCGTGTGTCAGCGCAGGAAAGAAAATCCAGAAATGACTCGAACACTTTACACCTCCTGATACTGTGGGGGGGCTTGAATAACGATCTGGAAAGCTCTGTGAGGCCCTAAGCAGAAATGTTTAGTCAAGGTTAGCCAGACGTTTTTATACATTGTATATAAATGATGCATAGCCATTTTTTCTCTGATATTGTGGCAGATATTACCAGAATTGTTTTTTTTTTGGGGGGGGGAGGGGTTTGCAACAAACTTTTATTAGGCTGATAGTGCCACGTTCATCAGTTCAACTGTCAGTAGAAATATTAACACAGTAGAAATGTGAAGTCATCACACTGAATGTTCGGGAAGGAGAGGGCTTGTGTGTTTCTAAGTGGATGTGTTGATGCAAACCACTAAAGCAAAGACTGAAGCTGCTTAGACAGTGTGAGTGCCACAGTGAAGTAACGCCAACGTGAGCTGAAAGGCCGCTCAGAAAGGAAGGAGCCATTACTTTGATATCAACATGAAAGGCCAGATTAAAATGTGCAAATGCTCTCAGGAACAATGCCTTAATATTTGGACAGGATGTCCTGTGGTCTGAATCTGAAATTTGATGATCTTCACAAAATAGATGGCATTACAATGAAATAAGATTATGTTGAAATGTTGAAGCAGCATCTCACAACATCAGCCAGAACGTCAACGCTTCGGCCCAAAAATTATTCCAAACGAACAGTGACCCTAAGCTTAATGTCAGATTAGTTTGCTTTAGGTAAGAAAGACTCTCTGTTGGTGCGTCACTCGACCCTCATCTGATTCGCATGGAAAGATTTTGACTTGGGCTGAGACGACCTGCAAACTTGACCCAGTTACACCAGTTCTGTCAGGAGGAATGGATCAGAATTTCCAGCATGCTTGTGTAAGAAGCTAGAGGAAGAAACCCAAATGGTTTGACTCAGGTCGTAAAGATTGAAGGCAAACACTGAGGGAGTGGATGGAAGCTTTTTTTTTTTGTTTGTAAAAAATCTGTTTTGAATCTCAAAGCTGAGTTTCTTCTATTTTTCTCTCTAGGGTTTTTACCAAACTACCTCCTTCCTGACTATGAAGAGGTGGTCAACCGACCTCCGACCCCTCCACCTCCTTACACCGCCCTGAACTTAAACTCCTCTTCAATGGCTTCTGTTGCCATGGCTCCTGAGCAACAGGCGGGACACTGTCCATCCACCCAGTCCTCTCCTGCGCCGCCGGTCTCTGACGGTCTCTGCAGTAGACCTGCAATAGAGGAAGCGCAGCCTCCTTCCTTTGACTTTAGGCCAAAGCCCAATAACAAACCCCATCAAACAGCCCAAGACTCCAGCATTATTCTTCTGTCAGATGGACTGAATGTGGAGACGCTCAGCAGCCAGGAGAAAAAAAGTGGAAGTGGGGATGACTCCTGCAAGGATCCCCTGCTCAAGGACCTGTCGCTGTCAGAGGGTTGTAGTGAGGACCAAGAGCGCCTCCCCAACGGCAGGAGGCGGCGATTCACCGGGGACTCTGGGATCGAGGTGTGTGTGTGTGGCACACGCGGGGGCGGCGGTTTTGGTGGGGTTGGCGGGACGGGCCAGGAGCAGGAGAGCCTGCTGGGGCGCGGCGTGGATGACGGTAACGAGGAGGAGGATGCGGGCGACTTCTGTGACAGTTGCGGCCATCGAGCCTCCCTGAGTTTAGAGGAGGAGCAGGCGCTGGGCGGGGCGGAGAGGAGGGCCGGGCGCGGGCCCCCGCTGACGCCTCCGAATGCAGGCGGCTGCTCACTCGGTTCCCCTACTTGCCTTCTCCTCCACACCATCAGCGAACAGGACGGCCCGGCTCACAGCCCGGATCCGCAGGGATGAAACGCTAAGAGGTGTCAGCGGCACCGTCGGATTGTCTTTACGAAATGAGCCCATCTTAAAATAACCAGATGAGGGAGCAGCAAAATGACTCCGATGCAAAGGTGGAGACGCCTTGCTCTTTTCCGTACTAGTCCCAGTGGCCTTAACCAGTGCAACATGGGTTGTGTAGGGGGCAGCTCTCCTCTCTGCAGTCATCCTTCTCCTTCTACCCAACGCACTGACTCAGCAACAGATTCGGTGGGAGGATGAGGACAGAAACTCTTCAGTTGCAGGAAATCTGTAGAGCTGCAGCACATTACATGGTGGTGTATCAGGCACTGCGGGAAAACCTTGCATGAACTGGTGCCTTCATAAGGACACTGCAGCCTCTACGACAAGAGCAGACTCCACGGCGTCCCAGTAGTCGTGCTTCTGAAGTGCTTTTTCAGCAACTGTAAACCACTCTGCCTTCTGTTGGTGTTGCTCTATCAGCCTTACAAGCGATACAGTAGTCTGTCTGTGTTTAGAAAAAAAAAAATAGATAAAGCGTGAACACTTCCAGTTTTGCACAGTTTCTCTAAAATGAAAATCTTTTGCAAAGTAAAACGAACCCCAACATTTTAAGGCTGAGTTTTTACTTAATTTGGTCTCGCATGGTTTGCGGTTAGTTTCCATCGCAACATGTTTAAATGGAGAGGTGTGTACGTGCGTGTGTGTGTGTGTTAGTAGGAGGAAATGTAACATTTACTTGGAATGTGTTCGTTTCAGCCTAACTTAGCTGAATGTATGTAGTTGGTGCCTAACAGAACTCGGTGTGAAAGTTTGAGGAACAATAAGCTTTAGTGAAACTGACGAACCCTGAGAAAGCAGGTACTCAAATCAAGAATGTCGAGCTTCAGAGAGATTAAAACTGAAATAACAACAAGCAAACCTCAACATTTCTTTTGTAAGTCACTTCAACAGATTACCAACCCTGGCCATTAGAAACATCGAGAACTATTCTTAATATTTGATGTTGAATCCTTGGAGCAACTTCCAGTCCGATGTCATTAAATATATCAGTGACATTATTGTTCAGAACTAAAATTATGTCCTAGTCTGTTGGGTTTTTTTTCTTTTTATGTTTTGCATTTGCACTCTTCAGTTAAAGAGATGAAATTGAAAACGCTTTGAACTTCTATGTATGTTAAAATAGGGCTGGATGAACCAATTAAAACCTGGTTCTGTCAGTTTCTCCTTATATAAAATTCACTCATAAGTATTCACACTCTTGAATTTTTTATTTCTTTCCACTTTACCAAAAGTCTGGGCTTTAATTTCTTACTGGACAAAAGCGTCCCCTCAGCATGATGCTGACACCACCCAGGTGGTTTCATTTTGGTCACCTCAGGACCACCATCTGCCGCTGTAAGCAGAACTTCTTGTGACTGTGAGTCCAGGTTTTTATTTGTAAAACTTAAAATTTTCCGCCCACTTCACAATTACAGAATTCCAGTGAAATTCACACAAATTTATGGTTGTAATCTGAAAGGTTCCAGGGTTGTTTCTGTAATTCCACGACAATGACATTCTACACTTATCGTCCTCCAAGTCCTATTTTTGACAATGTTGCTAATGTTTGGTGAGACCTTAGCAAACAGTTATTTCACCAAGGATTCAGTTCATTATTTTGTTCAACTGCCCATCTCCATAGTTTTGGTCCACTGTGTTTTTCGACCACAATAAATTGTGACATATTTTGTAAGACTTTCCTTCCTACAACTGCATGAAAACACAAAATTCAATCTCTGCGAAGCACAGACATTTTAACAATTGGTCAGACAAATTTATTTCGGTATGAATATATATACTGAAAGCACCTTGCAGGAGATCATTTCCCCCACATTCTTCAGCAAGGGGTTACAGTGCAATGCGAAACCGTTTTGTATTACCAGTAAGCTCATTGGCCTTTATGCGTCGCGACATGGACACACTTTTAAGTGCTTTACATATTAGGGTATGTTGTGAGCTACAGATGAAGAAGTATTGTGTACTTTTGTCTTATTAAAAAGAACTATTTTCATATCTGCCTGTTCATTTAAGTGTAATAGAGAGAAAATCCTCAAACCACTTTATATTTGCAAATTGTGTACAATCACATGTAGCGAGTTGGAGAACCATATAGTTGCTTTATAATGTTTTATAAAAATCTTTAGCTTTATTTTCATGGACAGGTTTTATTATTAAGGCTAACATTGGGTTCTTTTATAGAAACTCCCTCCATTGCGAGGTTGTGTGAAAGGTACCTTGGACTAACAAGTATTTGTTCAGAGATCAGGGCAGTGTTGCCAAAGATGGTTTTCTGACTTAAGTGTGTGTGTTTTGCACATATTCTGTGAATGTTCTGATCATAAGCCATTTATTTCAGCAACTAAGATGAATGTATGTTCAATAAATATTCTAAATTTACAAACAATGTTGTCTGGGTGACTTCCTGTCTTCTTGGTTTGGCATCAGTGATGGAAGTTTAGTGTAGACGAATGATGAATGTAGAGAGACTATAGGAACTCTTTACCCCATCGCTTACTGACGACATGTTTTACAACTGTGTGAGATGTGAATAAAAGATTTATTAAATAGTAACTTTGGAGGTCCTCTGGGTGTGATTGGGCTGTTTGTCCTGTGTGTCGCCTCTTAAAGAGCCTCATCTACTGACTGCTGAAGATGGGTACCAGCCCTATACAATCCTCCAAGGATGTACAGGTACAGACAAAGCTGGCTTCACTGTTGATGTCACAAAGCCCTCTATTTAGATTAAAACAAACTGAATTTCATTTAAATGATATAGTGCCAGAGGCTGGAGGAGGAATACCCAGAGAATCCGTATTATTTAGTGTGAAGTTTCTGCAGATGACTTGAGGTGCCATGTCGTCTGCTGGTTTTGGTCCACTGTGTTTTTCGAAGTCTAAAGACAAGCGCAGGCATCTACCAGGAATTCATGGTTTCTTCTGCTGACAAGCTTTTGAATATGTTGAGTCCAACTCCTAACTGGACTTGGTACCTGCCCATACTAATGGCACCTGCTTTAATCAGTATGATACCTTTGTTACTGCCTGACAAGCCAATTATCCTGACCTAAGTCCTCTTACAGAACCTGTGGAGTATTGACAAGAGGAAGATGGGAGACTGTAAACACAACAGAGCATACGAGCGACAAGCTGCGCTCCGCAGGCAATAATTGTGATAGGAAGGCATAAATCAGTAAAATCCAGATTAAAGTAACTTTTATATGCACAGGCTCCTGTGGTACCCTGCAGTCACAGTGAGAACGCAGCCTTCACTGACATCTATTCTGATCTTTTTGACTGACTTCGATAAATAGTAACTATGATAATTTAAAAGAAGTAACCTTACAACTTCTTTATAACCAATCTTTTCTAAACTGGGCGGTTACAAACAGATTGGTCCTTTGGACTGTGGTTTGGGGGACAGTCCAACAGAGGGCGCTCCCGATCAGGAAATGAAATCCCGATCAGTGCTGCGTTGGTTTTCAGCGTGACCAAGGTTCCCTGAATTTTGTAGAAAGCCGTGATAATGGCTCACCACAACAGGTACAGAAGTACTTAATCTTCCTACTACGTGTTGTTTGTGAGTCACATTTCCCAGCCAACATGGCGGGGTGCGTTCCGACTTAAATGTGTGTTTATGTCCAAAAGTAGGGACGTAAACTTGTGTCAAAATTACACGTATTAAGTTACTCTCCACGTTTTAGTTATTCTGTGAGTTTTCTGTAGCAATAGCCGCCTGTTTATTATATGTAAATACAGCTGTTGTCACCGTATTTACTGTAACGTTGGCATTGAGAGTTAATGATTAACTGTTTTGTTTTTTTAAGCGCCATTGGAAATGATTTCTCTGACAGCAGCGTGCACGCGGACGTCAAGGTAACGTGACGTGGTTTTGGCCTCCTCCTTCATTCAATTTCAAATTTTAATTCAAGGTCACTAAAATTGGCTAAATTAAAAAAAAAAGTTTTAGGTGACAAATGGAAGTTTATTGACATTATGCAGAGATGTCAAACTACGGTGTTATGACTCAGTAATTCTCAAGTGAATTAATGCAACGATTCAGTTATTGAAAGTTCTTAGTAATTATGATTGAATCGATAGGTGATTGGATTTTATAAGTTGAAAATGCAGCAAGGGGAAGACCCAGAATGTCATGCACTGATTAATTATGGCAGCAATTATTTTTAAAAACCACAAAAAGGAAAAAAAAAAAAAAAAAAAACTTCACTCAATGCTTTTAAAACCTGAAATCATACCAGGTTCGCTCACTGCTGCACTGTTTAATCCCGATCAGTGAGGTGAGGATTTAAAGGTGAATTCTTCAGCCATATTTGTCCACCTTTGTGGACAAATATGGCTGAAGAACAATAATTCTGATGGACAATAATTCACTGAAAGGACTGGAATAAATCATCTTTAATTCACACCAGCTGAAACCTCACCTTCACTCTGTAAAATCAGCCTAAAATCAGCGCACCGTGTGGTCCTGTCGCAACATGTCCAAGTCAGAATTATAACAGGCAAAACAAGAAGATATTTAACTAAACCAGTTATTTTTGAAGCTGGTTGCTTCAAAAATAAAGCTCACTAGCAGAACAAAGAGCTTTCCTGCAGCTGCTGCTATCACTGCAGAATTTGCTAATATATAAAGTCTTCCAGTTGCATCACCAGGAAGGAGCTAAGAATGCAGTTTACCCTATCTTCGGTGTTTGAGCTTTTCCGCGTTAAACAGGATTATTATGGGAAGAGGCTCCAGAAGACGTCGGACCTGAAGACAGGCGCCTGCGTGGCTCCAGCTCAGCCTCTCCCAGCCTTCATACGGGAAGCCCTGAAGAAAGTACACCCTGAAGTCTCTGACAAGTAATTAGGGGAGGAGAATGCCTTTTCTTTTCTTTTTTTATTTTGACATTGAAAAAAAGCTTTATATGTTTCTGATTTTCCTCCCGACCAGATACTACGGGTGTGGTCTGGTGGTGCCAGAGTCCTTGGAGGGCTGCAGGATTCTGGACCTGGGCTGTGGGAGTGGAAGGGACTGCTACATGTTAAGTTCGCTAGTTGGGGAAAAAGGTCATGTCACTGGCATTGACATGACTGAGGCCCAGGTACGGAGCAAAAGGCATTACGAATTCAGCCGTTGAGACAGACCACAACGTCTCGGCCTGTTGTCTTTCGGTGAGCTGGAAGTGCTATTTTCCCCGATTGGGCGGGGCTTAAGCGGGTGTCAAGGGAGGGCAATGCTTTGTCAAGTTAAGGAGGAAATATTTCTGGCTTTAAAAATGTCTTTCATCGGGACAACTTCACAAAGCAGTTGGGAAAAGTCTGTAGCAAGTTTGAAAAATGGCTTGATTTATTTTTAGAGTAAATTACTGAAGACAAAAATGCAGAGTAGTTGTTAAACTGAGTCTAGTTCAGGAGTATGATGTTTTTAAGCATGTTCAGAAGAAGTGCAATTGGCTAAATGTTAACTTTATAAATGTCTAAACAGGTTTGACTCAAAAGGAATGTGAAATACAAATGTTCAGAATGAACAGCATGTATCCTGAAAACTCAGACATTTTTCTTCTGTCAAAGCTTGAAGTGGCCAGAAAATACGTGGATCACCACACCAAGGAGTTCGGCTACAAGAAGCCAAACGTGAGTTTTGTTCAGGGCTACATCGAGGCCTTATCTGCGGCGGGTCTGGAAAAAAACTCGTTTGACATCATCATGTAAGACACGCTCCTTCCCTCATCAGGTTTTCTTCTTCTTGTTCTTTTATTCTGTTTTTAACATTGTTGATTTTTGATGTTGCTTAGCTCCAACTGCGTAGTGAACCTCTCCCCAGACAAGAAGCGGGTTCTGGTGGAAGCATACAATGCACTCAAGGTTATCAGTTTTTTGGGTTTTTTTTATAATCACTATATATTTGTAGTTAGACTGCTGTTGCAATGTTTTCTGCAAACGTGTATCTCCTCAGGATGGGGGTGAGCTGTACTTCAGTGACATCTACTCCAGTGGAAGACTGACCGAGGAAATTAAAAACCACAAAGTGCTGTGGGGTGGGTCACAAATATTTCCTGTCACTACATAATCAAGGTCACTTCAATTTTAGATAAAAAAGATTTGTCTATTTAAAACCAAGCAAAACATTTTCATCAGTTTGACTTAAAGTTAATTACACCTGCTTATGATGAAAGTGACAGAGATAACATTTTTCTTGTTTTATAATAATTGTAATTATGAAATGTTTTATGTCAGTCTTGTAGTAGTGAGATAGTTCTTCTCAGAGCTTCGCAACAAAATCATTTTGGGGTCTGAATGTGTGCAAGTTTTCCCAATACTGTAAGCTAATCAGCAGTTCACACGCCTCCCTCACTTGATTCGTATCATTAAGGCTTCGCTCCACAGTTTCTGTTGTCTGTCTCATCTTTGCAGGTGAATGTCTGGCTGGAGCGCTGTGGTGGAAGGATCTGCTGCAGCTGGCCGAGGAGGTGGGCTTCAGTCAGCCACGGCTGGTCACGGCCACCGTCGTCCCAGTTGACAATAAAGAGCTGCAGGACGTACTAGGTTCGATGCAGTTTTCTTAATTATGGTTTGCTTCTTTGTAGAACAACCTGTTCTATTTCATGTTATTGACTGTAATACTAAGGTGAACAGAAATGTCTTGTATTTAGCTTTCATTTGTACTTGTAAGTCGGCCATGATGACATTATTAGTGTCACAAGCAGAAAAAACGGGTGTATTCCCGCCTGACGATGGAAATAGCAACGAGAATAAATGTTGATTGCACAAATTTAACTGGACTAAAACTGTTTTTAAAAAATGGATGAACCATGATGCTGTTCAGTTGGTGATCATGTGGTTTGATCTGGTGACAGTTTATGGATCAACTTTTTACAGTTTTCCAGTCTTCAAGACTTTCAAGATAATTGTGAAACAGTATAAGCATACTAAAGTAGACATGATCTGATGTTACTGATTTTTTTTTTTTTTTTTGTCTATACGTAGCAAGAAAAATGTAATTTGAGATTTTTTTTATTTATTTTTTAATACTTTAGTGTAAAATTTAATACTTTAGTGTAAAATTAATACTTTAGTGTAAAATTTCCAACGTTTGATGTAAACGTTGGAAAAATCTTCATTACCAATAGCTTTTTTTGTTGTGGTTTTACGTATTTTGCACCTTCTCTGGCTATGCAAAACTACTTCCTGTTTTACATTTTAGTGCACTTAAGTCGTAAGAAACGTTGCAGTATAGTGCACTTACGTGAGTGAATTTTATTTAATGACTTGTACATCGTTGATTGTTCATGCAAATGTTCATACAGGTGACTTCAAGTTTGTTTCTGCCACGTACCGCCTGTTCAAAGTCCCTAAAGGCAAAGCCAAGACCTGCCAGGTCATATATAATGGAGGCATCACTGGGGCAGAGGACATCTTCCAGTTTGACTGTCTCTACACCTTTAAGGTCCGTACACAAAATGCGCTATGACGTTAAAAAAATGCACCGTGTTTAAGTGGCTGTTGTTCAATACAGACCAATGAAGTGGCGCAGGTGGACGGAGAAGTAGCTTGCATCCTGACGCATTCCAGATTTGCAGAAGACTTCACTTTCCAACCACCAGGGGGCTCCTGTGAGCCTTGTTGTGCCAAGCCTAAGGTCAGAGTCATACTTTAGTTTTTGCATGAGGACTCCTCCGGTTTGTTGCATGTATCCTCATGTCTTTATTGTTGTTTAATTATTGATACAGACTGACACGGTGGATCCTTTTGACCTGGCCTCTCGGTCGGGCACTCGAGGGGGATGCTGCAGCACGAAATCTGCTGACTGCTGCAAATGATCATAGGACGAGCATTGAGAAATGCAGCAGCATGGTACATGCTGTGTGATTGTCCTTTTTCAGTACGACTAAAATCAGACGCTTCAGATGAGTAAAGTAGTAAAATTTCAAACTTTTTCTGTTCCAAATGTGCCTTTACACAGTTTTCTAAGAGAAGAGAGATGGCTGTGAAAGGCCACATATGGATTTCTGTGTTTTTGTGGCTTTCCTTAAATCACTTTCTCAATTAAGGATAATGGAAGAATAAGAAGAAATGTGACCACAAAAGAACTTGCTATCCTTCACAGATAACACCAGTGAAGGTTTTTTGTGTTTTTACGCATGTTAGCAATTCTTTTTAATCAACAGGCTCGAATGCCATAATGTCTACTTAACCTTCATAAAATGAAGCTCTAGTTTCTGCAACCATTCAAGTTCTGAGGTGATTTACAGAACTGTACTTGTTGACATTTCACTGTAACATGTACTCTTTGTGTAGGTGAATAAATATTGTGCATCTTCAGGATATCTTGTCTTTATTGGTGAACATTTGGTACTTTTAGGTTGTTTTTTTTCCTTTAAACTACTTCTGTGGTGTTTATAAACAATATTCCACAGATAATTTTTAAAATGTATGTTTTAGTTTTTTGCCAGGCTTTAACGAATTCCTAAAATCCTCAAACCTTTTCACCTTTCAGTGAAGAAATTACATTTCAACTGAAATACTAAAGTTCCAAGTATATGAACAGAAAAAATACCCTGAAACCTTTACATGGCTAAACATCTGCTTTAATTTGATCAAATCTGAAGGTTGTGCCTAAAGTTATAGAACAGTATAAAATTAAATTTCACTTCAGATTTAGATCATTCCAAAACCTTAAATTACTGCATTCCATTTTATAATTTTAGATATTACTTAGGCATTGACTTGACCTTGTTGGGTCATATCCTCCCACGTTCCCTTGAGTTTAAAGGTGGTAACAAACGAATGGACAGCAGAATTCATGACAGCAATAATTACAGCACTCAGCTCCAGACCATCAGTCTGTAGTTATACTTTTTTCTGAAATGACGTATTGGTTTTGCCAGTCCCACATCTCCGACGAAGTTCCATTGGTACACAGAATATTTTTCCGGAAGTCTTAAGCTGCTGTTTTTTGATTCCTTTTGGAAATGTGAAATGAATCTGTGGGCTCTTTTTGGTCAGCATCAGTGCTGGATGTTTCCTCTGAACATCATTTTTGCCTCGTCACTTACTGTGGCTGTAGATGCTTTTCAAGGTATCTCTTAAGGCAACACCAAAACCTGTCAAGTGATTTCAGTAAAGCGATTGCAGGGTCAGAGGACCGCTTACAAATGGACCACCACTGCACTTTCACCGTTGTTTGTCCTGCATCCTGTCTGATAAAGAAACAAGATGCATGCGCTGTGTCTCCACAATCTTAAATATGTCCAGACTCAATAGACCAGTGAAGGTGGATGGAGAACGCATCCTGACCCATTGCAGCTTTGCAGAGAACTTCAGCTTCCTGCCACCGGGTGGCTCCTGCGAGTCTTGTTGCGTCCAACCTAAGGTCAGTGTCACATTTAAATTCCTGCATGAGGAATCCTCCCGATTTATTTGTTTGTTTCGAACCACCGGAGGTCAGTATGTGTCTGGGATCAGTCCAAAGTGTGTGACACACCCAGGGAGCCCTGCTGTGCGCACAGTCACAACTACACGGGTGTGCACCGGGACGCACGCTGCACTCACTCTCACTCACATACCCACTGAAACATGCGTACACACACATCCACATGCAAGAAGGTCAAGCAGCTGTCTCGGAGTCATAACCAGAGTGTGGAGTCATGCCGGGGAACCTTGAACAGGAAGGAATGTTCTCTTCTCAGCCAATGGAATGCCATCTTATCAGCTCTTATAGTCATTTGGCGCACATACACAGACTTATTTATTAAGTAAAATGAGTCCTTAAGAGTCATCCATCAGTAATAAATGAGTGTTATATTCCAACAGCCGCTGATGTTTAATTGCATTGGAAGCACAGTCACCGTCGAGGCTTATAGACGTATCCGAATGTGGTTTGCCCTCTGGACGCCCCCGGACCCCTGGAGTGAACGTGACCCCGGGTGATGAGGGACCATTTGCTGTGTTTGAGTGGTGTGAAAGTGGTGATTTCCTAAACATCCACTGGGCTACTTCGCCGTGCAGCAAGACTGCAAATGTGTGCCAAATACAATGCTGCATAACGTTTGCGACAAGCTTGGTTGTCGTGATTGAGACATGGTTGTTTGCAGTACATTCTTGTGTGTGTGTATCTGCACGCGTGTGGACGTTCTACACTTCTGATGTCTTTATTGCCGTTGAATTATTGACGCAGGCTGACATGGTAAATCCCTTAAAACTGGCCTTTCAGCCTGCCAGCCCAAGGCCTCATTTCAGCCACAGGGGGATGCTACAGCACAAAATCTGCTGACTTCTGCAAATGATTGTGCAAAGAGGAGTTGGAAATACAGGCCCTGCAGCGTGCTGTGCATGAGTGATTTTCCAACTGATGCAATCAAACTGCATTAACGCCTACGTATGAATGACCGTCATTTGTTTTGCTTGTACTAATAAATTACAACGAGGCTTGCATTTTTGCATGTATTTCGAACTGTGCAGAGATGTAAACACTTGTTGTACGGGTGCATTTGGGATGTTTACTCACGGTGCCTGAAAGATGATTGTGCCCATTTCACTTTACAGCGTTTTAGTTTGTTGGATTTTTGTGTATGAAGAGCTGCAACAAAGTACTGAAAACATATTATTGTACAGTTTAAACATAGTCAACTCTTTCAAATCACTTTTATTGATCTCAATTTTCATAATATATACATATATATTTATTTTAGTTGTTTTTTTTAATCTGTCTGCCATAAGCAATGGAATAATCACTTGATTATCACTTGAAATATCTCACTCTTAACTTAAATGTTTAATTTTCAGTCAGTTTTAACTTTTATTATATACATTTGTGATTGTACTATTTTGTGCTGTATACCGGTGTATTTTGTTGTGCTACCTTCTTGTGTGTTCTGACACCTGGTCTGTGAAAACGTGCTAAATAAATAAACTGTACTTACGTTAATGTACACATGTACATTTTAGAGTAGAATCAAACACTAATATTTTTGTATTACTCAAAATTTTTTGATATGCTCCTGTTTTAATGATACTCTTTTCTGCAAGTAGCTTGTGAAAATAATTAGTTTTTTTATTATTTCTAACTGAATTATATTTTTGCTTCACCTTAAGTGCACTTACAGAAACTGTTTATTTATTTATTTTTATTTATTTATTTATTTTTGCTAAAAACAGTCATGTGGCTTATCTTTTCATTAAATCAGCCAGGAGTCGTGCATAAAGAAGCCAGCTTTGAAAAGTTAACGGGCAGAGTTCTCTCTGCCTCCAAAGATGAGCTGCACTTGTTCCGGAATCTGATTCGCCAAGGAGGCTGCGGACGCCCCGCCCCCCGGCTCGGCCGCCGCCCCTGATTGGTCCTTCCCGTCGCCCGTCTCGCGGACACAGAGAGAGGCACGAGTTGGCCTGTAAGCCTGCGCTGGCTGCTTCTCAGTGTCGGGCACGTAGTGGGAAAGAGCAGGTCCCGATGCACAAGTCACGGCAGCCCTGGGCGGAGATGAAGGCGGACTCCGACTGGCTCTGATTTTTCAAAGCCCTTTTCATTCAGGAGCTCGCTTGCCCAGGCGGTCATCGGTATGGCAGATCCTTTATCCCCGGGACCCAACATTGCAAAAATGGCGTCACTCAGCCGGGTCCGAGCTTTGGCGATGATTTTCTTAACTGTCACTGGCTGCTGTGTCACCCCGACGAGTGGCAAGGAGGGCTCCGAGGAGACCGTCATCATCGGGCTCCGGCTGGAGGACACGGACGACATTTCCTTCATGGATAAAGGCTACCTGCGGGTGAGCGAGCGGTCTCGGGTGAAGCTGAGGGTCTATGGGCAGAATATCAACAACGAGACCTGGTCCAAGATCGCCTTCACGGAGCACGAGCGGAGCCGGGCGGCGGGGGGCTTTGACAGCTCCCCGGGGGACAACCAGAGCCGGGAGGACTCGTCCGGCTCGCATCCTTGCGGAATCAGGACTTCGGATATAATCATATTGCCCAACATCATATTGAATCGGAAGACGTCCGGAGTGGTCGAGATCGAGGTCAAACCCCTGCGGAAGACCGAGAGGAGTAAAGCGTACTACCTTTGCATCGCCACCTCCACGCCGGCGGCGGCCGGGCTGCACGACCCGTGGACGGAGAACACCTGGATCTACCACGACGGGGACGACACCAAGGTGATCGTGGTGGAGGAGAAGAAGTTCCTGCTGCCTTTCTGGCTCCAGGTCATCTTCATCTCCATGCTGCTGTGCCTGTCCGGCATGTTCAGCGGCTTGAACCTGGGGCTCATGGCCCTGGACCCCATGGAGCTCCAGATCGTCCAGAACTGCGGCACGGAGCGGGAGAAGAACTACGCCAAGAAGATCGAGCCGGTCCGGAGCCAGGGCAACTACCTGCTCTGCTCGCTCCTGCTCGGGAACGTGCTGGTGAACACCACGCTGACCATCCTGCTGGACGACATCGCCGGCTCCGGGCTCATCGCGGTGGTCATGTCCACCATCGGGATCGTCATCTTCGGGGAAATCGTGCCGCAGGCCATCTGCTCCAGACACGGCCTGGCCGTGGGGGCGAACACCATCTTCCTCACCAAGTTCTTCATGCTGCTCACCTTCCCGGCGTCCTACCCGGTGAGCAAGCTGCTGGATTACCTGCTCGGGCAGGAGATCGGCACCGTGTACAACCGGGAGAAGCTGCTGGAGATGCTGCGCGTCACGGACCCGTACAACGACCTGGTGAAGGAGGAGCTGAACATCATCCAGGGCGCGCTGGAGCTCCGGACTAAAACCGTGGAGGACGTCATGACGCCGCTGAGAGACTGCTTCATGATGCCGGGCGACACGATCCTGGACTTCAACACCATGGCGGAGATCATGAGGAGCGGCTACACGCGCATCCCGGTGTTCGAGGGCGAGAGGTCCAACATAGTGGATCTGCTGTTCGTCAAGGACCTGGCCTTCGTGGACCCGGATGATTGCACGCCGCTCAAAACCATCACAAAGTTTTACAGCCACTCGCTGCATTTTGTGTTTAATGACACCAAGCTGGACGCGATGCTGGAGGAGTTTAAAAAAGGTGAGGAAAGAAAAAAAAAAAGCACCATTTTGTTGTTGTCGTCTCTGTATGGAAAGCCAAAAGTGACACAATCCAATACATTATTTTTCTTTAGTTAACTATCTTTTATGTAAATTCAATCGCCAATTCAATATTTAAGGCATAGTTTTAAATATTAATTGTGTCAAAGCTATTGATCCAATGCTTTTCGTCCACAATGTGTGTCTGATCACATTCCTGTGATATAGATTTTCAACCATTTTGACCATCTTCACTCATGTTCATTCACTTCAGAATAAATATTAAAACTAATTCTTATTAATATTCATTTCTTCGTTCTTATATTTTCATTCATCTTTCTGATCCCTTCAGAAAGATGCAAGTATATTACAAAAAGCAAGTATTTTGTAATATACTTGCTTTTCACTTTACTTTCTGTGTTTGCCTCTGGACTTCTCCTTTAGCGAAACGATACTTGTCAGAAATAGTTAGTGGGATGCTCTGTAGATATGTAGAATACGCAGCTGTTTAACATTCTGGATGTCTAATTGTAACAAGGAACGCCATTTTTGAGAATGACGTGACGTGATAGCCTAAGCCTGAATCATTCTAATTGGTGCTATTATAAGATATTGCACAGTTGTTTATTGTCATTGTGATTAATGAACATGCTAAATTCCGCAGTACTTACTGTAGCTTTTGTCTGAGAAATTATACTCGCTAAGGGTTTTTCTCTTTAAAGGCTGATTGGAGTCTAAAAAATGGATTTGAACTGGTTAGATAGTCAGGCTATCTGCTCAGGTAGCCTGTAGGCAGCGGTTTTAACAGGTGAACGGATGGTAGCCAATTGTATGGCACTACTTTTGCTTTCAAACCATAACTGTTCTTGTTTTCTGAAACGCTAAACTGTAACTGAGGGAAAAATACAGGGACTTTATTTCAATGGCGGCCCCAAGACGGGATATGGCAAACGGAGATCACGTTAAGCTGGCACTTTATGCGATTCGGTTATGTTTTTCACGTGTGTTCTTCTCTTTACGCAATTAAATAGTTAGCATGAGACCGAATTCAGTGGATCCGACATACATCACAGTATTGAAATGAAACCTGCAAAGCAATGAAAAGAACACTTGCTCTGCTGAAACACTTGTTTGCAAATCTGCATTTATCATGAATAAATATGATTTTTTAAAAATTAAATATATATTTCAGTTTAAAATGTAAATATAACATAAAAAAAGAGATTTAAAAAAATTATAAACACTTAGTTACAGGTAAATAGCTTTTCCATTGATTGAATTGTGGCACTTTTGGTTCTTGGTCGCGCCCGTATTGTCTGTCCATGTGAAATGTTTCAGGACTCTCGCGATAACTCGTTATTAAACTGACGTTTCATCCGTCTGCCCTTCCTCTTCAGTCAGGTACGGTATTGGGATGAGTTGCGTCATAATTGATGAACCGACGCTGACCTTTCGTATTGCTCTGGATGCCTTTGTCGCAGCTGCAGGCCAGGTTGCTTCAAATGACTCCAAATAGTCTAAAACCTGATTTTCAGGAGCAGAGTGAGGAGAATGTGTTTCTGCCCTCCTTTTGACAAGACGTTCCTTGCAGTGAAAGCAAACAAAGCAGAAAAAAAAATCACAGCAGCACCACGTTGGGTTTGTTTCAGCCTCATCGGCCACATCCTTAGCCGCTAAGCTTCCTGTAAACGGGGAAGCAGGAGGTGCCCTTATCACTCTCCATCACTTCCACTCAGTGTTAATGTTCACACTCTCCCACTCTCCTCCAGCTTTCCACAGCTTCTTACCTCGCCTCTGAAGCCTCCCCTGCCCGCCTCCCCCTCTTTCTTTCTCTCTCTCTCTCTGATTTATAAAACAGTGGGACATGTGGGAATGGTGCGGCGGCGGTGCCGGGGTTATCAGGTGAGGGCATCTCGTTCGAGAACCTGCTTAAATCCGTCTCTGCCTCTCTCATGCTCGCATCTGAACGATGGCGGCGATAACAGCTTTTGTCCGGCGCTGGAATGCGGTTGAGTGGATAATGAATAACAGCCTCTAACACCTCCGAGCCCCCGAGTGTTTGTCCGCGCATGTCGTTCGACAAAGATGCTTACCTCACCTGCGGTTTATTTACCGGAGGGGGCGGTTTGATTTCCACCCTCGCTCCGTGGGTTGAGTCTGACTAAAACAACTGCTGCTGGCATGGCCGACCCAAGCCTCCATGGGGCCCTAAGCAAAATTTGGTTTTGGGGCCCTCTAGATCTGTTAACAATGTGGACTGGTTGCAATCAGCAATCATTAGATCACTCGCAGACCTGCTATAAACTTACTGCATCTCTGGCAGTGCTGTTTACATTATATACATGTATAATAGGATCCATTTATTGGCCAACTGATTTATCGACCAGTTGATTTCTGGGCGCCAGTTTTCTTAATTTTGGGGGATCATGATCTGCTGATTCTTCCACGTGAAGCCCGACTTCTCCTCTAATCTTATCTTCTTCAGCAAAGGTTTCAAAATGAGCCCCTGTGCTCTTCTGCTGCGCGGTGAGAGCGCGGTGAGAGGTTCGACTGACAGACAGACTCACCAGGTCACGTCTACACATTGACAATATTCACCTCACTGTTGCCAACTCAGCGACTGTCTTGCTATATTTAGCAACATTTCAAACAAAAAATATTTAATGTCAACCAAAATCAAAATCGGCAGGTCAGGCTTTTTAAAGATCCGGGGATCGGCCCGAAAACTGCAATCGTTGCAGCCGACGTTCTTTGATAAGGATACATTCCTCTTAAGCGTTACTCCAATAGCTAAAAATGTCTTCTGTACCAGGTGAATCGCCTGAGAATGTTAAATGATTTTAACAGAAGTTTCACATTATTTAGGAGTTGATGTGAGAATAAAAAAAATTCTTTTCATCAATAAAATAATAATTTCTACACACATTATCAAATATATATTATTGTAAAGAGAAATCACTCCATAGTGAAATTGTTTGTTTTGGATATTATAACGACATAGAAATTATTACCCAGAATCAGCTCCACCGAGGGGGCCCCTCACTGACCCTGAGGCCCTAAGCGGCTCCTTAGTTTGCTTATGCACTGGGCCGGCCCTGGCTGCTGGATTTAATGCAAGTTCCTCCTACAAATGAGAATGACGTGACGTGATAGCCTAAGCCTGAATCATTCTAATTGGTGCTATTAGAGGCACAGCAAGACGTGCCCGACCGCAGCTCATTCACCAATACTCTAAAATATTGGGAAAAAAGCATGCTCATTAGAATAATCACTTTACTTTTGAGAGGATTAATCAGGAGGTGAAACAGAACAAATCATTCAGCTCCATTACCAGAAATTAGGTGAAGTTCTCCATGCCAAATTAGCATTACGTAACGTACTATTTGTTTTCATCACAGTTGACTGGTCACAGACAGGCACTGTTATTGAGAGGAAGCTAACGTCCGTCTTTCGGGGTTATTTTACTAGTATTGTTGCCGCCATGCAAAATGGAAAAGTATCGATACCTTTTAAGCTTTGCTGCACTTTGTCACATTTTCTTGTTTTTGAAGATTTCATTTTTGTCGTCTTTTTTGACATCAACTTTGAATACTGGTCAACTCAGAGAAGGAATGATTGGGATAAAAGCCAGTTTTTAAAGACATTTTATTATATATATATATATATATATATATGTATATATATATATATATATATATATATATATATTTTTTTTTTTTAGGAAAAAATTACATTTTGTATTAAAAAATGTATTTCTCAGCCATATTACCCAGACGTAGTGCCAGCTTTGACTGGTGTATTTTTTCCCCCTCTATTTGTTATTTGTAGATATTTAAAATGTCTGCAACCTGTGGATCCACAGCCATATTTCCACAGTGGCTCTTACAAAACCAAAAATTAAATGGTTTTTGATTTTGGACGCAAGAGGAAGTGGTCATTTTTGGAGTTTTTCCATAAGTTCTCATGCAAAACCAGCATAGTGCATTCACAATATGCGCTTCAAACGAGACTCACCTCATTCTGCAACTTTTTTTTTCTTTCTTCTCTTGTACCAGAGGATTCATTGTATCTGAAAATAGAAAGGCATTGTAGTTTAATTTCATTGAACTAATCATAATATGTTCTCATAATAAGACATCTCGTGTGTTTAGATAATCTACTGACGATAAATGACAGATTGAGCATCATCCAGTGTGATGGTGAGTGCTTGGGATGTTGTTTTGTGACGTGACCTTTTAAGGATGTGGCTCTTGACCTTTACGGTGTTGGGTCTTCACTAATGTTCACTAAAATCACCAAACGGGGTTAGTTGACGGTGAGGCACACAATAGTTAATTTCAGTAGCTACAGACCTGATTAGTGGAAAAGAGGCCATGAAATGTGCTTTTAGTGGTCAGCAGCTGTGCCCAAGCTCTGCACCACAAAGTGCAGCGTAAACAGCATGAGTTGGGAGCGTGCTGCCACGAGTCTTAGTGGTGACATGTGGAGCTGCGTTCTCTGACGTGTTCTTCTCCTTTTTGCAATCCAGTGGACGACAGGAACCAGGAGAACGACACCGGGCTGACAGTGTTCTTCGAGCACAGCCTTTGGTGCAGAGTGGGTTATGGTGTGAGGCTGTTGTTCAATGACTGGGAACACTTAATGCTTCCGCAAAAATTTTCCGCCCCCAGTCTTTAGGAACTGTTTAGAGATGGCTTCCTTTTTTCTTTTTTTTTTTCCAACATGACTATTTTACCTGTGCACAAATCGACGCCCTGATAGACATCAAGGACTCAGACATAAGAACATGACTGTCCTGCACCGAGTGCAGATCGCAGCCCTGACGCAGCAGCAACGTTTCAACGTCAGTGTCTAACCTCACAAATGAGATTTTGAAAAAAAAAAAAAAAAGGTCAAAAATTCCCACAAACACAGTCTCAAATTTTGCTTGAAGACTTAAAGTTCTTGGTGTGACGCAATGTGGGCCAACACCAACAAAAGATTGGCATTAAATTTCATGTGTGTAAAAAGCAAGTGGTCCAAAACTGTTCTAGCTATTTTCCAGTCTTTATCTACAAAACTGTGGCATGGAGACTATAACACCAATCATCAGGTAACGCTGATTTAAACACAGTTGCTGAGCAGCGAGCAGTTTATCTGTATTTCCCTGAACAGATGGTTAACTGGATGATATCGGCTTGTTATATTTGTGTCACAGTATGAAGAGCAAATGCACTACTCTGTGTAAGAAGATCTAAAACCCAATACTAAATCTAATTTATTCTTCTTTACGCAAATATTGTTCTGCTATTAAGTAAAGCAATTACGTAACGGTGTCTGTTTTTTAGATACAAAATTTGCCTTTAGGACCAACTTTCAATCAGACCTGTTTCTTTCCAGCAGCCTTCCCTTTTCTGTTGATGAATTTATGGCAAATTTTAAAAAATAACACAATTTGACGGCAAGAAAAATTTCTTTTTTTAAAATTTATTTTTAAACGAAAAAAGAACTACAGGGTGAGCCGCCTTTCATGCGTTTTGTCAGATCTTTTGTGTCCAGTTTCTACAAGACGATGCATTCAGATGACCACTCATCTTTAGATTAGATTTGATAAACTGTATTGTCCCCATTGGGGAAATTTGCATTGCTCCCCTCTGTTCACCTTACTTATCTTTGAAGCTTACAAAAATTTTATAAATCTGTTCACAAGAACCGGATAGATGCTGATTGCACTCCACATTCCTTTTTGATGTGGAATATTGCATTTTTACTGACTTACCTTTTTTTTTTTTTTTTTTTAAACGAACATTTTGGTGAAGTTACAGTCGACCACGAAATAATCCAGGACCGGCCTCCAGGGACTACTCACTGTTTCTGCTAAACCTAAAACGAAGAAAGCTGTGCTTTCCAGCCAGTGGCTGAACTATCCAACTTGACTCATGCCAAATGTTGAGACTATTGAGTTTTATAAAATGGTTACTTATGCTTTTAGGTTTTGGATACAGCAGCTTCCAGGAATACAGAGGCTCAAACATGAATATAAAATCTCTCCTGGGCATGTTCTTAAATAGGAAGATATCAAATGCTTCTCTTGGAGTTTGTGCTTTTGACTGAGAGAGATGTAAAAGATTTCCTTTACCTTAAAGTTTTTCACATTTTGGTATTTTAGAACTGCAAATGTTTGTGTTCTGTTGGAATTGTAAATCCGGCATAAAGTACTGCTTTAGTGGGAAGGGGAAGCAAAAACAAACAACTTTTCAAAGTTGTTTGTTCTTCAAAATAAAATCAGAAAAGTGTCCAGCTTCAGTGTTTTGTACAACTATGCTGTGTTGTTTTGGGGTTTGTCTCTACCAGTTTTCCATGTTTTGGAGATTTTTTTTTTTTCTTCTTTTTTCTTATTCCTTCTTACCAAAACAGCTCAAGCTCAGTCAGACTGAATGGAGAGTATCTGTGAACATCAGTTTTGAAATCTTGCCAAAAGTTCACAGTTGGGTTTAGATCTGGACTTTTACTGGGCCATTTTATCACACAAATCTCCTTTAATCTAAACCACTTATACGTTAACTAAGTCTGAAGCATCTTGGAGTGTGGAAAAAGTCCACTTGACCACAGCACCTTCGAACACATCGTCCGCTGCTTGGTAAACTTTAATGCAGACTTCTACTGGTCTTCTGTTAAGGACGGTTTTCTTCTTGTCACTCCTTCGTACAAACCAGATTTGAAAAGTGCATTATGGGAAATTGTCCCGTCAACAGGATCACAACGCATTATGGGAAATTGTCCCGTCAACAGGATCACAACGCGTCTCTTGACTATTTCTCTGAATAACGCTCTCCCTGACCGGCCTGTCAGATTCATTGAGCATTTATTAGGTTCAGACATTACTCTACACGCAGTTGGACTCTACTTAATAATTAGGTCATTATGAAGCTTATTGGTTGAGTTTTGTTTCATTCGGTATTATCAGAGAAATAGCTAATTCACCCCTTCAGAGTTTGATGCGTTAAAAGATTTTGAGCACCTTTTTGACATCTTGACATTTCTGCACCGCTTTGTGTTCAACACGTCATGGTCCTGATAAAATACACCCTGGTTTCTGGTCGCAATGTGGGAAACAAACAAACAGAAAAAACGGGTGTAAGTATTTTTTCCTCCACGCTGTAGTTTTTGTCAACCTGCTGTGCATCCCACCAGTGGAAGAAAGCAGCACCGGGTCCGCGTCATATTTGCAACGCGCTTACAGTAAACCGGTGGGTTCAGCTTTAGTGGCTGAATCAGAGTGTTCCTGCGGCTGGCGGCACACCAGAGGGAATTTGCCTTTGCTTCGCCTCCCTCCGGGGAAGTCATAAGCAACTGTTGAAGGGAGGGCGGCGGGGTCACAGTTTCCAGTCAATCTGGCTCTGTTCGCAGTGCACTCTCACTTCAAGGCGCTTTGTGTTATAAGTCACTGTTAATTAATTTGTTGCCTCTCGCAGAGCTGCATGCATGTCTGAAGTCTGTTACAGAAGAAATGAAAGGCCACGCATATCAAACAGGCAGTACGTCCAGGATGCTGTCCGAAGTCTTTTTGCAAGTGCTGTGACTTAAAATTTGAAAGATTTCTTTTTCACAAAGCTGTGGCTAACGGTGCAATTTATTTAAATCTTTATTCTTTCTGTAGAATAGTCTTTCAAAAAAAAAAAAAACGTAGAAATTGCTGCCCTTCTCTTTTCTCATCAAGTTATGATCCCGCCTCACCCCCACATCGTCGTCCTGCAGGGAAATTTGTGTTCGATGAGTGAATTTGCATCAATGGTTGCAACTTCCCGGAGAGACTGAATACTGTCTCTCCGGATATTGGGAATTTCTTAGAGATGATTTTTACACTCTTCCATAATTCGCTGGTAGTACTTTCATTGAGGTTTCTGGTCTCAGAAGCGACACAAAAGTTCATTTTCTCTGTAAAAGAAAGAGATGTGTTACACCATGATTTGATACAGGATATTTGGCCACATCGTAGCGACACACTGCACTGTCACAGGTCTCCACAACACAAGTCCAACAGGTCAGGGGTCACAGCGAGCTTCACGCAGGAGCCTTTTAATGCAGTCAGACACCCTTGTGGAAACTTCTGGCCCCTTCATTAATTGCTGTGTCTCCGACTGCAACAATTACCGTCATGCAGGGGTTGTTTGGTCCAGCTGCAGGGTCACTGGTTAATGAGTGGGTCAGTGCATGCCATTTGGGACTAAACCGAGTGGCAGAGGCAAAAACAGGAATTCGGCTTTAGAGGGAGGTGCGCTATTCATGAAAGTCAAAGTTACCCAATGTGAGTCAGCGTTGCTCACGTCACAGCACGTATTACCATAACTATAAACTCAGTTGGCTCCAGCTCTTGTAAACTGTTGTTTTAGTTTGTCAGCAGTGAATATCCATAATACCTCGTATTCAGCTATGATTGATTTTTTTTCTCTTTCAGCTTCAGAATAAGGCATCCTGGGTAAATACACTGAACTACTTCACCTGGTTCCTGTAATATAGGCCAATTTATGCTTAATTCAGACTCGACAACCTAAACAACCTATGCGTGCAGCGCTTTGTCTTAACGGGGGGAGGGGAAAAAAAGTTTTCCTGTTCCAACGTTGACGAAACTGTTGTGCTTGGTTTTCTGTTCTCTGGGTGTTGTGGAGGATATGACAGCAAGCGTCTGGTAAACCGGGGGATTAAATGGCATCATGTTGGTAAGAACACTTCATGTTCCCTGATGAGGGACTTTGAACTCAGTAAGAACTAATCAGCCAGCTGCTCACTTTATTAGAAGTGAAGAGGCTGTTTCTGCATCTCGTTTTATTTGTTCTTACAGGGCGCAAGTGTTATCCGGAGATGTTCTCCTGTGTGGAAGGGGGTTTCTTTTAGAAAGGTGCAGTGGTTTGCATTTGGAAGGCATGTGGCCAGAATCACAGTAGAGCAATCTGAGCTTTGTTATAAAAGCTATCCAAACTAAGACGACTTGAAAAATAATTGTCTCACTTGTTAAATCGTGAACTAATGACAATCATACGCACTGTTTGGGCTCAGATTAAGCTGTTTTGCCCGAGCTTCGCTTAAGAA